AGAGGAGCGTCTTCCTCACATCCTCTTATAAAAGTTAAATTTGAGGTTCTATAAGAGATGGAGTTGGGTAAAAGGTCAGGAAGGTCCAAAAATGGTCCTTTCCTGGAGCCAAAAGGGCCAATGACCTATTGTACCTTATAAAATGAACACCGCCTCTCTTGATAGGGGCTAGGTAGGCTAGGTCTATTGGTGGAGCGGAGCTCAGCCCGGGAGGCGTTCGGGAGTCTTTCCTGGCCGGGGCTCCTCGACCCCTGCAGACGTGAGGAGGCTGGGCGTCACGAAGACCTAGGTGGACGAAAGTGTGCGCCTATGCATTTTGTCCTGAAAATAGTGAACTGTCGCTGGGGTCTCAAAAGGATCTGCAACCCCAAGTTCACAACTGCTCCCTGGGCGGAGTCGCTCCAAGCTGACTGACATTTGATCTTAAGTGGTCGTCCCCCAAAGACCCCAAAGATTGTCCGTGGAGTCCAACCCTTGGGCCGTCCAGGGACAGCGCGTCCCCGCTTTGCCCCAGTAGGGTTTCCCGCGTGTCTGTGGCTCGGGGTCAGCAGCTTTGGGCAGGTCCTGAGACCTCGCCGGAGTCCGCGTGCCGGCTCCAGGGGCGGGGCGGAGGCGGGGTGGGGCGTGGTCCCGAGCCCGGCCCCGCCCCGGCGCTGACGTCGCGCGGCTGGAGGCTCGGCGGGTCAGCCAGTCCGCCGGGGCGCGATCGCTGGGCCGGGTCGGTTGGCTGCGCGCGGTGGGGAGGTTGAGGCGGAGGAGCGCGCGCTGGGCCCTGCAGTAGCGGTAACTGCCCCGCGTTACCGACGGGGTCCTGTGGGATCTCTGCTGGCTTCTGTGTCCGGGTTGTGGCACGGCGCGGGGACTCCCCGTAACCCCTTGGTCAGCCGCGCCGGTTTGGGGGCATAGCCCACCGCCCGCTCCGCAGCATGCGTACCTCATACACCGTGACCCTGCCCGAGGAGCCCCCCGCCGCCCCCTTTCCCGCCCTCGCCAAGGAGCTGCGGCCGCGCTCCCCTCTGTCCCCGTCCCTGCTGCTCTCTACCTTCGTGGGGCTTCTGCTCAACAAAGCTAAGGTACGCGGGCCCTTTTCTGGGACCTCCCACGCCGAAGGTCTGGGGTCCTGCTTGCTCACGGGATCAACCCCAGACCACCACGAGTCTCTGAACCCCGGGACGTTCTTTCCCAGATCTTTCCCCTCTTTTCCTAGGGTCTCCTGGCAAGGGATGCCCCCTTCCCTGGAAATCGCCGGCTTGCCCCAGACTCCTCCCCTCTTGATATCCAAGCTCCCTAAGGTCCCTGGCTGCCTCCCTGGGTGACCCGGGCACCTGGTGGCTCTTGGCCTCTTAATTCCAGTCACCTATCAAGACAGGTGCAGGCGAGAATAACCTTGACTAGGGCTGGTGTGTGACTAGGGGGAACGGACGGCACGCTGGACTCGGGGGTGACTCCTCCAAGGCCAAACTCCAGCACGGAAGGTGGATCAAAGGGGTTGGTTGCCTCTCCGTCTCTGTTCCCAAATAGGTTCTCTGCCGGGGGTCAGTTGTCAGGGTGCTTTGACCCTGTGAAGGGCAGAGGTTGTAGACAGGTGTGAGAACGAGCCCTTTCTTTTCCTGGCCCTCTTCACTTGTGTGGAGTGGGCAGTGGATTCCTTGATTGAAGCAGCTCGTGGAGTAATGCTGAGGCTAAGGCTGGCCACTGTCCCTTTGGGAACGAGAAAAGGGGCCTGAGCTTGACAGGTCTTATGTAACAGGCACCAGCTCCCGTGTTGGCAGTGCGTGCCCTGCCCCGTGCCAGGGCTACACCGGGCTCCTGGTTGCAGCCAGGACACATGGCTGACCCTCACCATGCAGATAAAGCTGGGGTCTCCAGTGTGAAGTCACAATATCAGTCCCCCGTCCCTACAGGCCCATCCCCAGATGTCACCCGCATTGCCCGTGACAGGGTATTTGAGCCCCCACTCCTGCCCTGGCAGAGGAGTGCTGTTTACTATGGAAGTGGCATCTGCTCTCTAGACCAGTACTTGCTACTGAGTCAAAGCTAGGTTTGCCGATGGCTGAGTGTAAGGAAGCTCCGGGTCCAAACTTTCTCAACGCTGCACCCTGCACCCGAGTCCCGCTGGAATTGGTTCCTTGTGCCGTCCCCGGGAGAGGCTGGCTGCGCAGGGTTTCTGTCCTACCTTTTCAATCCTAGCCTCTCTTTCCCTGCCAGCCCTGAGGTAGGATTGTTTGCCCTGTGAGAAAGGTCACTCCTGGGACATTTTGTTCCTCTCTGGAATGGAAAGTGCTGACTTTCCCTGGAGCTCCTGATTTCCTATTCATGGCAGAAGAATATCGGCCTGGCTTAGAGCAGCCCTGCTCCCCTCCCCACCGCCAAGCCCTGTAAGCCCCCCCCCCCATTCTACACAGGGCAGTCAGGAGCTGGCAAGTGGAGTCAGGCATGGTGGTGAATGCCTATGATCTCATCACTTGGGAGACAGAGGCAGGAGGATAGCTTTGAGTTTAAGACCAATCTGGTCTACATAGTGAATTTCCACAGTGAATTTTAGGTCAGCCAGCGTTACATAGTGTGAGACCCTGTGTCTAAGAAAGGGGGAAAAAAGAACTTGCCAGGTGTTTGGAAGTTCAGGAAATTTTAGATTAAAACATGACTCCCCACACCAAAAAATAATAATAATAATAATCAGAGGGTCCTAATAGTGATTTAGGGGAGCCTCTTCCTTCTCCCCACCACCAAACCAACAGAAGCATTGGGGCCCAAATACTAACCATGGAGGATGCAATGCACTTCCCACCTTGCAGTCGCCCAGTGGGCCTGAAAACGGAGTGCCTCTGTGGACTGGTGACTCCAGCCTCCCTCTCCCCACCCTCACTAGTGCTGGGATAAGTGCCTCAGCCGAGAGCCCGCCTTGGTGGACGTGGACATGGTCACCAGTGGTAGGATGCTTTGCATCTCTACAGCCTGTTTAGATCGATGTCGTCTCGGGCACAGGGGGTAAGGACTAGAAAAGAGCTACAAAAACAGGTGTGAGTGGGCAGCGTGTATGGGCACTCCTCAGTGGGTGTCTCCAAGTGGGCACTCCTCAGTGGGCAGCGTGTGTGGGCACTCCTCAGTGGGTGTCTCCAAGTGGGCAGCATGGAGATCGCAGCCATGCTTTACTGTTGGGCTCTGGGGGAAAGGGAGTCTTTTTCCACTTTATCCAACGCTCTGACAAGATCTTTGTTCGCAGGGACCGTCTCTGTGGTAGCCCCCTTATAGGGCCCACCACTGTTGTCAGCAAGGCAGAGTTCCCATTTGCCACTACCTGGGATTGAACCCAGGACCTTTCACAAACACTAGCCAAGCCCAATCAACCATGACACCCAGTGGTAGGATTCGCATTTTATTTGGGGCCACTTATGGTTAACAGTACAGGGCAGGGCAGTGGAGGATGCTACGCCCTACCTGATGGCAGCAGGTGCTCCCTGCAGCTGAAGGTTTAAACCACATCTCTTCTGGGTGTGCTCTCTTCTCTGCCTCCTACAGCTGGACCTGACAACTGACCAGGGGAGGGATCCTTTTACTTGTGGGACGGGCCTGGCACTTCTTGAGAAAAGCCCTCCCTCGGCCTGCTCCTCCCTCCCCCCTTCAAGCTGACAGTCTCCTGGGCTTTGAGCCGCTGACAGTCTCCTAGGCTGTCAGCACACAGCATGAGTAATTTTAGCTGAGTTATTTCAGGCTTCTGTTCTGATCAGGGTTGAGCTGGCCCCACGCATGCCCCAGCCAGTGTTGCTCCAGAGTTGCCTGCTCCAAGGCTTCTTCCTAAGAGGGGGTGGTAGCCTCATCCACAGACTCATCCACTGTATCTTTAACCCTTTGAGCCACAAGGTTTCCTGATTCCCAGGTGTGCCCAGGCTTAGCAAAGAGACTGTGACAAATGGCACTCAGAGCCTTCAGCCTTGCACCTGCTCTCTCTCCAGCCCCCTCACCAGCCTCCGCAGTAGAGACTAGAGCAGCACCTTCAGCCAGGTGCTTCCTCAGCTCCGTGCAGCAAGTGTTTGCAGCCAGTAGCCAGTTGGGATGTTGAAACCTGAGGCGGGCAGGGAGGATCCTCCTGTCTTGGCTCAGCCCTTAGATGCTGAGTTCAGCTGGAAGGAATTCCACCTGTCTTTGGCAACTCAGAATGGCAGGCAGCTTGAGCTCCCCCCCCCCCACTGAAGATCGAAACTCAATTAGAGTGGTTTGTCATTTAACCTTTCTCAACCCCCTAAAAGTGAAGATATGATGGTTCCCTGATATATTGAACGTCTATTACAAATATAGGTCATGTGAACTAGAACCCGGGTTTCAGATAGGAAAGCTTTTTTTTGTTGTTTCATATAGCTCAGACTTTTGGGTTCACCTGTGTATGTAGCTGAGGCTGACCGTGAACCAAGTGCTGGGATTGCAGGCATTCCTCACCCTGCCTAACCTGGACTGTCAGTTTCTTACAGCAAGAAATATATATTGCTGGATTTATGGATCCCTAGCCTCTAGTTCTCTTATCTAGTCTCCACTGTGGCAGAGAAAGAATAAGAGAAGTCAAATGTAGTAGATCATACCTGTAATCCCAGTACTCATGAGGCTGAGGCAGGAGGATTGCCACAAGTTCACTAGGCTACCCAGTGAGACCATAAAAAGTGAGCCCTGAAGAATAGATTGTGTATTGAAAATAGGCATTCTTCTACTCTCTTTTCTTCCAAGACTCATAGACCGAGGTTAAAAAGAGAACACTCTGCTGGGTGGTGGTGGCGCACACCTTTAACTCCAGCACTCGGGAGGCAGAGGCAGAAAGATCTCTGTGAGTTTGAGGCCAACCTGATCTACAGAGCGAGTACAGCTCAGTCTACACAGAGGAACCCAGTCTGAAGGAAAAGGGGACAAGAACACTGCAGCGGGGGTGGGGGGTGGGGTGGCTGCTGAGTGAGAGCTGTGCAGAGCCAGGCTCTGGGCCTCCTCATAGGTCACATTTTCTTTGCTTACAGAATTCGAAGAGTGCCCAGGGTCTGGCTGGTCTTCGAAACCTTGGGAACACGGTAAGTTCCTCCCAGGAGAGTAGAGGTCATCCCTATTCTCCTGACTGGGATAATCCAATGGAGTCCCCTCCTGGCTCCAGCTAACTTCCTATCCTAGAGGGCAATCAGTACCTGCCCTTCCTGACTGTGTCTCAGTGAATCGCTGGGCTCTGTCTCACCCGCCCCCAGCAGGAAGTACTGCTAAAAGGAAGTTGCCCCATTCTTTGCCAGCTTGCTTCTCTCCTGGACCTTCCTCCTGGTTCTCCCATCATTTCCCACCCACCGCTGACCAGTGTGCCCACACCCTTTTGTACACCTCAGTAGGAAATAACCAATTATATGGCCTTTCCCCATAGAGGGGACTTGCCTCACTCCTCCCTGCCTTCCTTCTCTCTGGGAAAGAGGAACCTGGCGCTGTGAGGGAGTTCACCTTTGGGAGGTGAAACAGAGCCTTTAGTTGCAAGTAACAGAGGTGCCCGGTAAAGGTCTTAACTCCATCCCTGTGTTAGTTAGCTTTTTGTCCCTCAGCTAGATACATGAGATAAATCAACTTGAAATGACAGTAAGTTTATTGGGCTGTTTTAGTTCGTGGCTGACTTAGTGACTGTTGCTTTGGGCTTGTGACGAGATAGTACATGTGCAGCAAACAAAACCATTCACCTCATGACCAGAATGCAAAAGACAGAGAGGGAAGAGATTGGAGTCCTTCAGGGGCAAGCCCCCCAATACCTAAAGGCCTCCCACTGGGCCCCATTGCTTCAAGTTGCTACCACATCCCAACAGTGCCATTGACTGGGAATCCATGGCTTGTGGGAAGCTTAGAGCTGTGCACACCCACTAATTGCCCAGATCATCTCTTTTAGTGCTTCATGAACTCAATTCTTCAGTGCCTGAGCAACACCCGAGAGTTGAGAGATTACTGCCTTCAAAGGCTATACATGCGGGACCTCGGCCACACCAGCAGCGCACACACAGCCCTCATGGAAGGTGAGGAGCCCCATGTGGGTGTGGCCCTGCTTCTTTCCCAGCTCTGTTCTACCAGACTGGACTGATGGTTGTGTTTTGGATACACTCCACTCCTCTATTTTTCTTTCTTTGCCTGTTGTTCGTTGGGATGCATTCCAGGATCTGTTGTTTGAGACACGGCCTTACTGTGTAACACTGGCTGGACCCAAGCTCATGATTCTCATGATTCTCCTGCTTCAGCTCCCCAAGTGTTGGGATTATACCATGCCTGACTCCAGTTTCAGGGTCCTATCTTGTTTGTTCATTGGTTGGTTGATCCATGGTTTGCTTGGATGGTCGTCTTATATTTTTGAGACAGGGTCTCAGGTAGCCCAAACTGGCCTTGAACTCCTGATCTTCTTCCTACCTTAACTTGGGATCACAGGTGTGTGCTACCACACCCAGCTCAAGGTTATATATATACAGATAGATAGATAGATAGATAGATAGATAGATAGATAGATAGTCATTCGTACATATGATCTCACCTGGGCCTAGAGAAGTGGCTCAGTGGTTAAGAATGTTTACTGCTCCTAAGGAGGACCAGAGTTTGGTTCTCAGAGCCCTTGTCAGGCAGTTTACAACAACCTGTAACTCTAGTTCCAGGGTTCCCAGCATCCACTTCTGGAATCCTTGGGTACTCACAAGCTTGCATACATCAACCCCCCCCACACACACACACAGTTTAAAATACAATCACTTTTTTAAACAGAAAATATCTCACCTCCTCCACCCCCTCTCTGATCATTCCTTCTAACAGAGTTTGCAAAACTAATCCAGACCATATGGACGTCATCCCCCAATGATGTGGTGAGCCCATCTGAGTTCAAGACCCAGATTCAGAGATACGCACCACGCTTTGTCGGCTATAAGTAAGGGCCTTGGATGCATGTCCTCCCCCGAGGGCTGGTAGCTTGAGCAGGGCGCTGCTCACTCACTTTCTCTGGGTTCAGTCAGCAGGATGCTCAGGAGTTCCTTCGCTTCCTCCTGGATGGGCTCCACAATGAGGTGAACCGGGTGACAGTGAGGCCCAAGCCCAGCCCTGAGAACCTTGATCACCTCCCGTAAGTAAGAGGAGAACACCACTGGAGGGGAAGTCTTTGTGAACTTGGAATTTGTGCCTACTTCTTTGAGAGTAGTGATCTGGGGAGAATCAAATTTGCTTCATTACTGCTTTAAACATGAGCTTTTTTATTTTGGTGATGGTAGTGTGTGTGTGTCACTGGGGATTGGACCTAGGGCCTTGGACGTGATGGGCAAGCACTCTGCCACTAAGTTACATTAAAGATTAGAAGTTTGAAGCCAGGCATGGGGTACACTCCTGTAATCCTAGATTTCAAAAGGCTGAGGTAGGAAGGATTATGAATTTGAGACCAGCCTGGGCTAATCCTGTCTCAAGAAAAACCTTGGTTTGGGAGGTACAGCTCAGTGGGTTGTGTGAAGAACACAAGCAAGGTCTAGGATTCCCTGCCTAGCACCACAAAGAAAATACATATAAACGCATAAAGAGTCTAGCTGATAGACCCTCGCCTACCGGGGTCTGACACAGCTGTCTTCCTGTCTGTGGTTCCCAGGGATGACGAAAAGGGGCGGCAGATGTGGAGGAAGTATCTAGAGAGGGAAGACAGTCGGATTGGGGGTAAGTACACAGATAAGAAAATACCTGTATCTTCCATTCCCTACTTTTGCTTAAGAAGCTCCGAGGATTGTCTTCCCAGGAAACCCTGTTTCTGCCTGTGGCTCTTAAAACTAAGGCATGAGCAGAGAGAAAAGGAAGACAAGCCCTCAGTATGTTGAGCACACCCTGGCTTTCTCTCCCCAGATCTCTTTGTTGGGCAGCTGAAGAGCTCCCTGACGTGCACTGACTGCGGCTACTGCTCCACAGTCTTCGATCCCTTCTGGGACCTCTCGTTGCCCATTGCAAAGGTAAAGGTATAGGTATGCCCCACTGGAGCCCAGCGCCAGCTTCCCTTGGGCTTTACAAGGCTGTGCGCAGCTGACCTGGACTTTTTTTCTCTCCAGAGAGGTTATCCTGAGGTGACATTAATGGATTGCATGAGGCTCTTCACCAAAGAGGATGTGCTGGATGGGGACGAAAAGCCAGTAAGTCAGCTCCTCAGTGACAGAGAAGCCATCCCCCAGTGCCTTGCTGGGGAGGGGTCACCCGGGTCTAGCCCCTTTCATCTTGTCTTTCAGACATGCTGCCGCTGCCGAGCCAGAAAACGATGTATAAAGAAGTTCTCTGTGCAGAGGTTCCCAAAGATCTTGGTGCTCCGTATCCTTGCCCCAGGGTGGGACCTGACTCTTTGGTGTGACTAATGACAAGGGACCAAAGGGGAGGGGAGGGGAGGGGAGGGGAGCAGAGTAGGGAAAAAACAGCATAGACTTCTTTGTCTGCCTTCCTGCTCCCGAGAAGAGCCTTCACCAAGGACTCTCTTCCGGCTTTTTGTCCTTAACTCGCAACAATCACAGACCTGAAGCGATTCTCGGAATCCAGGATACGAACCAGCAAGCTCACAACATTTGTGAATTTTCCACTAAGAGACCTGGACTTGAGAGAATTTGCTTCAGAAAACACCAGTGAGTATACTTCATCAGGAGGAAGTCCGAAGATGCCAGAGGGGAAAGCTCTTTTCAGTTGGGAAAAACTGAAAAACTGGGAAGTAAGGAGCCCTTGAGAAAGGTCAGCAGATAAAGGTGCTGACCCGAGAGCGGTCCCCAGAACTCACCCAGGAGAGATGACTATTGGCTCCTTCAGGTTTTCTCTCTGACCCCCCCCCCCCGCCCCCCACACACACAATGAGTAACTAAAATTAACTTTCAACTTTTTAAGTAGAAGCTATAGTTTCTTTAAGGGACAAAAAAAAAAAAAATAGGGAAATGAGAGGAAGGGAAGGCCTGGGGCAGGAATGCCTCCAGAGCTCAACACCTGTGTCTCCTCCTCAGACCACGCTGTTTACAACCTTTATGCTGTGTCCAATCACTCCGGAACCACCATGGGAGGCCATTATACAGCCTACTGCCGAAGTCCAGGAACGGGCGAATGGCACACTTTCAATGACTCCAGGTGAGAGCTGGGGTTCTGACTGGGCTCCTAGACAGCAGACCACCTCATACGGCTTCCATCTTGAACAGACAGAAAGTCGAGGCCAAACATCATACACACAAGTCTGCTCTGCCCTTTCTGGGCTGTCAAAAATGGGCATGGTGGCTTACAACTGTAGCCAAGCGTCTGAGAGGTGAACAAGAAGATCAAAGTCATCCTCAGCTGCATAACAAGCTTGAAGTCAGCCTGGGTTATATGAGGGTGGAGCTGAAGAAATAGCTCGGTGGTTAAGAGCACTTACAGCTATAGCTGAGGAGGAGTTCATTGCCATTGCCACCATGGGCACCTGCACTCAGTGCAAGTACCCACATACATACCGCATACGCATATTTAAAAATAATAAAAATCTTGACAAAACCCTGAAAGGACAGAGGCAGAGCTTATGTTGGCATAGAGAAGCTGGCGACACTGTGCTCTGTGTCCCTGTGGCCTTCGTTGACAGGCTCTGACTTTTACCTGGTCTCTCCACAGTGTCACACCCATGTCCTCCAGCCAAGTGCGCACCAGCGACGCCTATTTGCTCTTTTATGAACTGGCCAGTCCACCCTCCCGTATGTAGCATTGCGGAGCTACAGCCCTTCCCTCTTCCCTGTGGCAGCCCCACGTCCTAAGTTTTTTAAAAATTCAGAAAAAAAACACCACAAAAAAACAACAAAATCCTGACAAGTAAGAGAAAAATAAAGTAAAATAAAGCTGCCGAGCAGAAGTTGGTCCGGCCTGGTCGGGGTCTGGAGCAAGGAGCCAGGTGCCCCTGAGCCACGGCGCATCAGGGAAGACGGACTCATGCAGAGACGACAGCAGTGTTCCTCAGCTCCTCGGCTTCTCTTGTTAGCATTTTTAAGTTTGTGGTTTTTTTCCTGTGTGTAATAAACAACAGCAGTCTGTGGGGAGAAGATCCTCAGGCCACCTGCTGCCCTCTCCTGCCCCACACCTTCTGGGAGGACAGCGCCCTCTGGAGCCTGCTGGGAGCATCGCTGCTGGATGGAGTTAGGGAGGAGCCTGCGCCGAATGCCCCCTGGACCTGCTCACCAGCCCAGAAAGGAAACACCCATGAGCCAAGAGCCCTCTTAACGCTGCTAAGTCCAGGGGTACAGATGAGGGGGACATCTTTGAAAAAAAGCTGGTTTGGGTTTTCAAAAGCCCAACTTTTTTTAAAAAATTAACTGTAACGAACATGTTCCGACTGGAGACGCCGTCCTTCACGCCTCTTCACAGCTGGGACTTCGGGCTGGCCCTCCCTTTTTGTTTTTGTTGGGTTTTGGTTTGGGGGGGTTGGTTTTTTTTTTCTTTTTTTTTCCCCTTCTCCAAATGCAACTTCCCTAATGCTGGCCCCTGTGGTGTTAGGTGAGTGTCAGCCAGGCCCAAGCAGAGTCACAGTAGACCTGGAATCTAAGTTTTCTGTTTCAAAATGTGGTTTTTTCTTTTTTTTCTTTTTTTTTTTTTATGTTTTGGATGGAATCTAGTTGCCTCCAAGATTTGTGCCTTATACCATTTGGGGACCAGGGGGTAACTTCCCCTTCCTGAGATATCCCTCAGCTGTTTCCCTTTATCCCAGTGCCATGTTCAAAGACTCCTGGGGAAATAAGGTGCTGCCTTTAGCCCCCGGCTTGTTGTGCGTTGCAGTGAGGTTAAGCGGGAAATGGGTAAAGGATATTTCTTCAGATAGTGTATCTAGCTCTTCCTGCTGTCCATTCACCCGCCCCTGGTCTACTCCCCAGCTGTTTGAAGGACAGTCCAGGCCCCTTGTCCCTAGAGCTTTGCCTTTAATTTATTCTCCTCTTAATGCCCCTGTCCCCAAGCTTCCTGCCACCTGTCCCCTTTCTCAGAGTCTCCTGGACAAAGGCCCTCTAGACTGAGCTGCTCAGGGACACCCATGCCACCCCTAACCCTCTCTTGGCATCAGTCTTTGGTCCTACCCTAGGAGCTAAAGCCTGGATGTCTGGGGCTGTCTCATAGGATTCTTACCCATGGACTTGATTGGCCCTCAGTCATTAGGCAAAACTCCACACTGTCCCAAGAGTCAAGCTATTCAGCACTAAGGTGTTTTGCACACGCCCACAGGTGGGCCCGATGATGCCCTCAGAACCTGGAGTGCTTGAGGCACCCGAGAAAGACACCCTGAATTTACCTGGCCTGGTACCCTTCTCTAGGGAAGACTGTGAACTGAGCCCAAGGGCTGGTGTACACTTGTTTACTATGTAAGCAAGAGGCAAATGGCTGTTGTACAGTGGAGCCTTGTACAGAATAAATAGTAGCTTTGAGAACGAAGCTGCCGCTGTGCCCGTCTTGATTGGGAGGGGCTCAAATCTGGGACGTGCTCCAGCTTAGTGAGGGCCACACAGCTCACTGCTTCTGCTGGCCTCCGAACACTGCACTCTAGAAACTTAACACACCTGTTAAGTTTAAACTTTTCCTTTTTTTTTTTTTTTTTTTTTTTGAGACAGGATTTCTCTGTATAGTTCTGACCATCCTGGAACTTGCTCTGTAGACCAGGCTGGCTTCACACTCAAGAGTTGCGCCTGCTTCTGCCTCCCAAGTGCTGGGATTAAAGGCGTGCGTCACCACTGCCTAGCATTCAATTCTTTTTTTGTTCTTTAAATAGTATGTGTTTCAGATTTCATATTCTACATATGGATTCCCAGATTGAGCTGTCTTGTGTTTATATGTATTTTATTCTTTTGGCCAAAATGTTTATGAGCTATAGCATACTTACAAAGACATTATCCTATAGGGCACTGTCTAAACCCCTGGGAGAACTGACATATCTGGTGGTGACTCTTTAAGAGGTTTTTACATTTACTGGGAGAGGGGTGCATGCGTTTACCTGTGGAGGTCAGAGGACAACATGCAAGAGTCGGTTCTTTCCCTCCACCATGTGGGTTCCAGGGATCAGAAGAGACCATCAGGCTTTGGGCCAGGCGCTTTTACTTGCTAACCCCCCTTTTAAAATACAGGTTCTCTGAATCCCAGGCTGTTCTTGAACTCAGCACCCTCCTGCTCTAACCTACACGGTATCGAGATTACAGGTCTGAGCCACCACACATCGCTCACATATCTGTAAGGAGAACTGATCTGTGAGGGCCAGACCTCTGCTGCAGACGTCCCCAACAGATGCTGGACACAGTGTCACTTAGAGCATAGAGCAGACCTCAGCTGTGGACGTCCCCAACAGATGCTGGACACAGTGTCTCTTAGAGCATAGAGCAGACCTCAGCTGCAGATGTCCTAACAGATGCAGGACACAGTGTCTCTTAGAGCATAGAGCAGACCTCAGCTGCAGACGTCCCCAACAGATGCTGGACACAGTGTCGCTTAGAGCATAGAGCAGACCTCAGCTGCAGATGTCCTAACAGATGCAGGACACAGTGTCGCTTATCTTAGAGCATAGAGCAGACCTCAGCTGCAGATGTCCTAACAAATGCTGGACACAGTGTCACTTATCTTAGAGCAGACTGATGACTGGAGCCCTCCATTTTCTGGAGAGATGACTCAGAGGTTAAGAACACTGGCTGCTCTTCAGGAAGTCTTGAGTTCAATTCCCAGCAACCACATGATGCTCACAACCATCTGTAATGAGATTTGGCGCCCTCTTCTGGCAATCAAGCACACATGCAGGCAGAACACTGCATACATTTAAAAAAAAAAAACCTTTAGAAATAACTGCCCCCCCTGTTAAAGGGTTTAGCCATTATGATCATGGTGGGAAGCATAAAGACAGACAAGGTACTGGAAAGGTAGCTGAGAGTTCTACACTCCAATCCACAGACAGTGGGAAGAGAGTGACACTGGGGCATGGTTAAGCATCTGAGACCTCGCATCCACTCCCAGTGAGACACACTTCCTCCAACAAAGTCACACTTAGTCCAACAAGGCCACACCTCCTAATAGTGCGACTCCCTATGGGTCTATGGGGAGCATTTTCATTCAAACCACCGTATCCCCTAAGGAGGTTTGACTTTTGGTTTGTTTTAGGGTGTTGGAGATTAAATGCAGGGCCTGTGCATGTTAAGCAGGTGTTACACTAAGTATACTAAGTCACACTCCCACTTCCTAAAGAATTTCCATCAAAATTTGAGAGCCAGGCGTAGCAGCACAAGCCTGGAACACCAGCACTTGGAGGAGCAGGGAGAGAGGTGCGAGAATCAGAAGTCTAAAGTCATCCCCAGATATATGGCAACTTGAAGGGCAGTCGGAATATATATATTGTTTCAAAAGAGGACCTGGAGAGATGGCTCATTGACTAAAGATACCAGCTACACTTCCAGAGGACCCCATTTCAATTCCTAGTAAGCACAAATCAGTTCACAACTCCAGCCCTAGAGAATCTGATGCCTTCTTCTGACCTCTGGAGGAACTATATGCCCATGGTGCACATACATGCATTCAGGCAAAACACGGGCTGGAGAGATGGCTCAGTGGTTAAGAGCACTGGCTGCTCTTCCAAAGGTCCTGAGTTCAATTCCCAGCAACCACATGGGGGCTCACAACCATCTGTACTGAGATCTGGTGCCCTCCTCTGGCGTGTGGGCATACATGGAGGCAGAATGTTGTATACATAATAATAAATCTTAAAAAGAAAAAACACCCATACACATAAAAAAAGCCAAACATGGTAGTGCACCCCTTTAATCCCAGTGCTTGAGAGACAGAGGCAGGTGGATCCAGGTCAGCCTGGTCCATAAGAGAATTCCAGGACAGTCAAAGCTACATATGGTAAGACCCTGTCAAAAACAAACAAGGGTACAAGCTCTTTAGGGCACACAGTGACATTGTTGGGTGTGGGGTGGGATCATCATTTCTTCAACTGATGTTAGAACTGAAGTCTCTCCCACTCCCATAAGCTTAGAATGTTACATTGGGATTCCTCTTCCTGGCTACTTCAGTGCTCCAGACACTCCGGGAGAATAAAGTCCATCCTTGCTGTGGCACAAGCCGCTGCTGTCACCTGGGGCCTCTGCTATAGTGTGCCCCACTTCATGAAGGGAGACAGCTTATTTGGTTGATTGGTTAGTTGATTGGTCCGTTGGTTGGTTTGGGTTTGGGTTTGGTTTTGGTTTTCCAGACAGTTTCTCTATGTAGCCCTGACTGTAATGAAACTCGCTCTGTAAACCAGGCTGGCCTTGAACTCACAAAGATCCACCTGCCTCTACCTCCTGAATGCTGGGAAGAATGGGAATAAAGGCATGGCCCACCAGTTCCAGCTCGAAAAACAGCTTTTTAATCTGGGGATTTAACTTTTATTCTGAGACAAGATCTCATATAGTCCAAGTGGCCCTTGAACTGCCTAAGGCCTAGGATGAGCTAAGTCTGCTCCTCCCGCTTCGATTTCCACAGGGGCTGAGATTCCATTACAGTCCCATGTGCCTCACCCTCCCATTTCAGCTGATAATGGGAATTGACCCCAGGGCTTCTGAAATGCTAGGCTGGAGCTTTACACACACACACACACACACACACACACACACAAACCACACCAGCAACATAAGAAAGATTTGAATAAACCTTTGTGGCTGCTCTCTGAGGGACTTGGACTTCCCTGTCCACCCCAGGAGTGGCAGGACCCAGAATGAGATGTCTAAAAGCTGATGGCTTCTCCCAGTCAGCCCCAGGTAAACAATGTCGTCTTCTAAACAGAAAGTGGCTCGCAGCCAAGTGATGGTGCCTGGTTTTTCAGGGGTGGTAGAAGCCGCCCTGTGCCTTCTCTTTCCCAGAGCACAGACGGTATCAAAGTGGGGACTCAAGTCCAGCCCTTGCCCTTGCTCCCAGCTTTCCTTTCTCTGCTTAGCCTGTGGTGCCATCTCATCCCCATGGCAACGGTCCCTAGGACTGCACCAAACCCCAAACACAAGCAGGTCTGTCAGCTCATTTCTCTGCGATCTGCTTCGCCTCCTAGCAACTTGGATTATTTCGCCCATTCTCCTGCAGGCCCTGGCTGAGAGGAGGTGCTACCTCTGCAGTTGCTTTTGTGACCTTGAACAAGATCCTCCTCCTACACACACACACACACACACACACACACACTTTGTAGGCCTCCAGCCTCATAGGAACCGAAGGCCTTGGCTCAGGAATTTTCATGCTAACTCACTTTTCCTCCAAATATACACTTGAATAGGGACTTAACACACCCAAGGGCCTCTAGCCCAGTTTACAGGTTGTTTGTTTGTTTTACATTTACCTATTGAAGGAGGACAGCGTGTACACACAATGGCATCTGTACGGAACTTTCGAGAATCAGTTCTCCTACCAAGTCAGTTTCTGGGATCAAATTCAAGGCTCTGCCAGAAGGGCCCATACCGAAACAGATAAGGAAA